GTAGGCCGTGTAAACATCATTGTTTTGGGTGATGGGGTTTGATTAATGTTTTAAAGGATAACTGGCTGGTACTGCAACAGAGATGCAGGGAGCTAAGCCTAGGGGTGGAAGCAGGCAGATCAGGCACAGGTTTTTATGGAAACCCTTTCATTAGAATGTGATCTAGAGTGAAAGGCAGGGACACTGGAGTCTAGGTCTGTTTCCGGAGTTGGAAAAAAAGAGACAGAGGACGAGAAAGTCCTGTGGCCTGTGTAACTGGATCTTTTCTTTAGAACTTTAAACAAATCTGGATTTATGACCTGATATTTTATATTAAGATTTAAAAACGGTAGTATTTTATGATCCAAGTAATACCGGAATATATTCTTTTCTAAAAATAATTAAACATTCCAGATAAGGCTGAAGCCCTCCTTGACCGTTGGAGCTTACGTCTCCAGAAACAGGATTTTGACATTATAAGTAGGATTCTGTTGAGAATGTGAATCTGACTTACTGGAATTTGGCCTCTGAGCCTGAGCAAGGATTTTATTTGTTTTGTTTCGAGCAAGGATATTTTAAAAAGGGTTTTCTCGCAAGATGAACATTAGTGTTTTCCTCTGGGGACATTATTTCTCTCGCCTATGGGGCTGAGGGGGCCAGTTGGATTTCTACTTTCATTAGTATCCCCTCAGTTAGAATAAATGTTGTGTGAACTTCAGCCAGTCACAGAGAGTGATCCATTTGTTGTGTGACTGAGCTTGGCTTTTTCCATGCCCGAGGGACAAGTAGGTCTCCCGGAACCCGAGAACGGCAGGAGGGAAGCTAGGGAGAAGTCGGCTCCTGGGAATCTCAGACTCTTTCTGTTCCAATAGCAATGCACAGCAAGTCCAAAAGTGATTTCTCCTCCTGTTCTCCAGCCTGTCTAATTACTGGGAGACTCTGAAAGAATTCTTTTGTTCCGAACTGTTATAAAAGGAAGTAAGACATCATGGCCAGAGTGTAGGGTCTGGAACCAGATGCCAGGCTTCAGGTCTTTGCCCTGTCACTTAACAGTCGCCAGACCTTGGGAAAGGGCATTAACCTTTTTGACCTCATCTGTAAACCCGAGCTTGCTGTGAGGATCAAATGCAGTAACACTTATTAAAGCACATTACAAAGTATTACACGAATGAGGGCAAGAACATGATATTCCATAGCTACATACCTTTTCTGTGTATTTCCAGTCAATTCCTTTGAAAATTATTGTTGTTGGGGCGCCTGGGTGGCGCAGTCGGTTAAGCGTCCGACTTCAGCCAGGTCACGATCTCGCGGTCCGGGAGTTCGAGCCCCGCGTCGGGCTCTGGGCTGATGGCTCAGAGCCTGGAGCCTGTTTCAGATTCTGTGTCTCCCTCTCTCTCTGCCCCTCCCCCGTTCATGCTCTGTCTCTCTCTGTCCCAAAAATAAATAAACGTTTAAAAAAAAAAAAAAAGAAAATTATTGTTGTTGAACAGGCTGTCTTGTTTAGGTAATAACTTAAAATTAGTCCTATTTGGATTTCTACCAAAGGGATGAAATACTGATTTAAAATCAGTGGATTTTAAAACTGGAAGAGGCTTAAGGGGTCCCTAGTGCAGTATTTCCCACCCTTTTTTTCTTCGTAGAGACCGTGAAGATTTCCCTAATGAAATTTTAATACCACAGATATACTACATGTCTGTTTTTGTTCTGTGCCCTTTTGGGGCCACAGCCATGTTAGTATCCAATATACCTCTGCCCCACATCCAGTTACCCCTTTTGGAATAACACACACACACACACATACACACACACACACACACACACACATATGTGAGTGTGTGTATGTATATGGTAGTTGAAACTGCTCAGTTTGGATTAATTATTTAATTCCGTCTTACTAGTATGGTCCGTGAAACCTTGAAGAAGCTTGATCGTGTGACTCAGTTTACATTTGTAAAACAGATCTACTAACTGCCAGACTTTGAAACTACCAGTTTTAACCCTTAAAACAACCAGGTTTTTTTAAGTTTTATTTTTTAAGTCATCTTTACACCCAACATGGAGCTCCAACTTACAACCCTGAGATCAAGAGTCACACATTCTTCCAGATGAGCCAGCCAGGCACCCCTAAAACAGCCAGTTTTAAGGGTTAGGAAGTGAGTTTATGAGGTGCTGGGATGAAAGATGCTAAAGGAAGTGTTTCTTACTGTATGCTGTGTGATCTTCTTAGTGTGTAGCAACCACATTGTAGCTGGTAACGCTTCCGGAAGGTTGATCAGGAAGAGGCTAGTTCATAAGAGTACTTGACATCCTGCTGGTGGGTAGCCTGTAAGCTGCCCCTGGAAGCAACAACTGCATCTTGTCCATTACCTTGTTCTTCGCAAGGCTAAGAACCACTGAATTTCCATAATTTATAGTGGTTGAAAGCTAGCAATACACATAACTGTGTATGAGTGTTTTGTAGGTGGTTAAAGTGACCTCTTGTTAGTGTTGATATGTTAATACCATGGGTCTCTTAATAAATGTATGTTAATTTTACAGTTTTGGTATTTTAAGGGGATGTAATTAACTGTTTTTAATTTAGGTTTTTATTCACAATCCTCATACCCGGAGTCAGCATGTCAGTGCATCCAGGGTCTTCCAGAGCCCCCTGGAGTCTGATGTTTCACTTCTCAACATCAACCAGGCAGTCAGCTGCCTGACTGCAGGAGTACTGAACCCAGAACTTGGCTATGATGCTCTTTTGGTGGGGACACAGACTAATCTTCTGGCTTATGATGTCTACAATAATTCAGATTTGTTCTACAGAGAGGCAAGTATACCCCTTTGTAACCATGATATTCCTGTTACTCATTAATGTCCATTGGCTTTTTATGATTGAAAGAGATCAGACATTTATTTTGGTTTGCTTATCGTATGGCTCTTGTGACGTAAACAACACGGAGATTTTTCCATTTATGTCTGCATTATCTGTTTGACACTTACTTGTTTTATCATGGTTGGTAACCACTTGGTGACACTCCAGCTTGTCTCCCATGAGGTATATCTGTGATACCACCATCTGTCAAGATCTATTGAGAACTCAGCCAAGAGCCAGGAGGTCAGTAGACAGACCTCCTGGTGGCTTTGCATTAAAATTTAGTATAGTAGTTTATAGGAGAAGCGCTTACTGTGGCCTGCCATCTATAGGCTACTGCAGCTTTATTTATTTATTAAAAAACTTTTTTTAATGTTTATTTATTTTTGAGAGAGAGTGTGAGCAGGGGAGGGGCACAGAGAGAGGGAGACACAGAATCCAAAGCAGGCTCCAGGCTCTGAGCTGTCAGCAACAGAGCCTGACATGGGGCTTGAACTCACAGACTGCGAGATCATGACCTGCGCCGAAGTTGGATACGTAACCGACTGAGCAACCCAGGTGCCCCTAGACTACTGCAGCTTTAATACTCAAGTTATTCATATTTATTATAGAAAAGATATGGAAACAAAAAAAATACTCATAATTTCTCCATCTAGAGGTAACACTTAACTCTTAAACTGATTTTTACTAAGTGAAATTATTTATTTATTTATGTATTTTTTATTTTAGAGAGAAAGCACATGTGAGCCAGGGAGAGAGGCAGAGGGGGAGAGAGAGAAAACCCCAAGCAGGCTTCATGCTCGGCACAAAGCCTAACACTGGCCTCGATCCCGTGACCCTGGGATCGTGGCCTGAGCCAAAATCAAGAGTCAGATGCTCAACCAACTGAGTCTCCCAGGCACCCCACTAGGTGAAATTTTTTACAAAATGTGATCATTTTTTTACCCTCTAATTTATATTATTATAATAAGGTATTTTAAAATATACTTCACATACCATACAATTCACCTATTTAATGTACAATCTAATAGTTTTAGTTTATTGAGGGACTTACTCAGCTATCACCACTATCAAGTTTAGAACATCTTCATTATCCCTAAAAGAAACCCCATACCCATTAGTAGTCAATCTTCATTGTCCCCCAACCTGTCTTAGGCAACCACTAATCTACTTCCTATCTCTGTAGATTTGCCTGTTCTCGACTTTTCATATAAACAGAATCATATAATATATGGTCTTTTGTGACGAGTTTCCTTTCCTTAGGATAATATTTTCAAGGTTGATCCACGTTGTAGCATGTATCAGTATTTCATTCTTTTTATGGCTGAAGAATATTCCATTTTATGGACATGCCATATTTTCTTTATCCACTCATCATTAATGGACATTTGTGTTGTCTCTACTCCCTGGCTACTGCACACAGCCTTTTTATTCAATGCTATATTGTGAGCATCTTTATATGAAGTCACTGTATATCCCTGCATCATTCTTACTAGGCTCTATGTTTTTTTTTTTTTCATTTTGTTAATATATTATAATTTGCTTAATCTGTTCTATATTGTTTCATATTTATGTTATTTTCATAGTTTCTGTATTACAGTTGATACTTTGATAAGCATATGTCTTTGCCAATTTCTCTGATTATTTTCTAAGGATAAGTTCCTAGAAATGCAATTACCTTTTTTTTTTGTATTTTAAAATTGAGATAAAATTGTACATACAGTGAAATACACAAACTTTACACGTACTATTCAGTGAGTTTTGATCCCTGTAACCAACATGCCCAATAAAAATACAGAACATTTCCATCACTTCAGGAAATATTGTTGTGCCCCATTCCAGTCATTTCTTCTATCTTACAGACTTTCACCGTTCTGATTTCTGTCAGCTTAGCTTAGCTTTCCCTGTTCTTGAACTTCACACAAATGGGATCATACAGAATGACTCTTTGATATCTGGCTTCTTGCATTTGGCAGGTCTGTGAGAGGCATCCATGTTTTTGCAGAGAGCAGTAGTTCTTTTTGTTGCTGAGTGGTATTCCATTGTGTGAATATTACACAGTTTGTGTATCCCTTCTTCTCATCATAGACATGTAGGATGGACATACTGAGTCATTTCTACTTTTGGTCAGTTATTAATAAAATTGTTAGAAATATTTCGGTACTTGTCTTTTTGTGGGTATATGTTTTAATTTATCTTGGGTGATACCTAGGAATGGTTGTACCATTTCACACCTCCCATCAGCGATGTACGTGAGTTCCAGTTGCTCCATTCTCTGTCAACATTTGGTTATGCCAGTCTTTTTAATTGTAGCCATTTTAAGGTATGAAGTGGTGTCGTATTTGGCTTCATTTTGCATTTCCCTCATGACCAGTGATATATTACACCTTTTCTTGTGTTTATTTTCTAGTCGTGTGTCTTCTTTTGTGAAATGTCTAGGTCTTTTGCCTTTTTTATTGGTAGTTTGTATACACTATTGATTTATAGATTTTCTTTATACAAATATACATGTACAAATATACAAAATGCCTTTTTTTATTGGTAGTTTGTATATACTATTGATTTATAGATTTTCTATAAACAAATTCTTATATATATATATATACATATATATATATATATATATAACAATGTTTACAATATATATAACAAATAACAATACATGTAACAAACATATTCTCCCAGTATGTGGCTCATTCCAATAAGTACGTGTCTTTTGATGAGCAAAAGTTTTTGATTTTGTTGAAGTGTAGCTGTTCAGTTTTTTTTCTTTAATAGTTGGTGCTTTTTCTGTCCTGAGAAGTCTTTGCCTATTTCAGGATCACAAAGATATTCTTCCTATGTTTTTGTATAAGACTGAAATTGAGTGTAGGATGTGTATGTGTGTATATATACTTCTAGGGAGAGAGAGAGAGAGATTGGTGGCTTTATTTTAAGAAATTGGCTCATGCAGTTGTGGAGGCTGGCAAGTCCAAAATATGCAGGTTAGGCAAATTCTCTGGAGATCCAGGGAAGAGTTGATGTTGAAACTTAAGTCTGAATACAGTCTGGTGGCAGAATCCTTTCTCCAGGGGTTCAGTCTTTTTTCTGTTAAGGCCTTCAGCTGATTGGGTGAGGCCCACCCACCCACATTATAGAGGGTAACCTGCTTTACTCAAAGTCTGATTTAAGTGTTAATCTCATTTTAAAAAATACCTTCACAGAAACGCCTATAATGATGTTTTTGATTAAATATCTGGGGTACCATGGCCTAGCCAAGTTGACACATAAAATTAATGGTGTCAAGCATTGAGCTTTGGAATTACTGAGTTAAAAATCTTTTTTAAATGATGAATATTGCTAAATTGTTCTATATAAAGACTACTGTTTTCCACCTTCCCCTCAGAATATGAGAGTGTCTGTTTTATCACACCCCAACCAACAATGGATAATCTTGTTATTTTTTATCTTTCTAATCTTAAAAATGAAAAATGATATATTGTGAGAATGAGGATTTTCATGTTTGGTGGTGATTAGTATTTCTTGTGAATTGCCTTTTTGTTTGTTTATTTTTTGTTTTTTTTTTCGTTTTCTTTTTGGTTTGTTTGGTTTGTTTTTTGGCTTGGGGTGTTTACCCTTTTCTTATTTATTTGCTTTTTATTAGCTCATTTAAAAAACAATTAGTCCTTTGGCTCATATATTGTAGGTATTTTTTCCCAGTTTATTGTTTACCTTTTAACTTTGTCTTTTGATTTATTGGCCATTTAGCAGTTTTGATTTCTAATAAGTTTTCTTTCTTTTATAGCCAATTTTTAAATAGTTTTCCTACATAAAGATTATATAAATAAGGACTGTTTTCCTAATAATAAACAGTTAGTATTTCCAAAGATTTCCTTGAATTTTTCTAAAAATAAGTTAAATTATGCTTATATACTTTAAGTCTGGGACATTTATTAATTCTGGATGGTTTATTACTCTTTGTACAGAATTCTTAGTAACTTTACAAGTAAAAGGACTAGTAGCAAGAGAACTGGGTAATAAGCAATAAAAAGATTTCCATGCAAAGTGGTTAAAATAGATTACAAAAGTTCGGGTGTTTTAAAGGCGTAAGTTTGATTCTGTCAAGAATTGGGCCCCTAGAACTAGTAGTTCTAGAGAGCCTTGGATTTTGCAGCAGTTTATCGCAGCAGATTAGTGTGAGAGGCCAGTGGCCTGAGTGGATCCTGAATCTGTGCTCATCCTGGTAGAAGCACAAATAAGCCACAGTGACTCTCCTCAATGGACAGTCCTGGGCTGCCTCTCACAAGACCACGTGGCTTCTCACAAATGACGACAGAGGGATTTGAGTGTCCAAATAAAAATGAGGATCTATTTTATGTCCACTGTGCCTGTGCATCAGTGTATCTGAGATTTTATGTCTTTTTTTTCCTTCTTAGGTTGCAGATGGGGCCAATGCAATTGTGCTGGGAACACTGGGGGACATTTCCTCTCCTCTTGCGATTATTGGTGGAAATTGTGCTCTGCAGGGTTTTGATCACGAAGGAAATGATCTCTTTTGGACGGTATACAGAACAAAACATTCTCTTAATCCTCCCAAACATTTTCACTTAATGTTCTTTATGCTTTGTTTGTTTGTTTTACCCTTGGCTGTAATGAATAAGAAAAACAAAATGGAAACATATTTTCTAATTCTGTACATAAAAAAAGAACATTTGTAATTTGAATAACACCCATTGGTGGTTTGTATAATCCTCTTTCATGTAGCTAATGCATTTGGATTAAGCGAAAAAAGATGGCATATTAATGAGTTTTGGTTTTATTTTCAGGTTACTGGAGATAACGTTCATTCCTTGGCCTTATGTGACTTTGACGGTGATGGTAAGAAAGAGGTGTGTGGAGGAGGAGATACTTATCTTGTATGCTCAGCTGAATAATTTCCCCATGACAGTGACATTAGTGGTTAAGAGAAGTTAACACTTCTCTGGTTGATTTTGGTGCTCTGTTGCCTAAATGACAAGCCAACTGGCCTCATTTGTCTTTCTCTTTTGAACAATGAATCAGTTGTATTTGTCTGATGTAAAGATCAAGGCTGTAATGTTGCAAAGACACAGGACGGGGTTGGGGGGGGCGGGCAGAGCATTTGGTGGGACCACAGCCATATTCACAATCTTACAGCTGCCTTCGGATGCTTTGAAACCATAATTGTAAGTAGTTTTCAACTGTGACTTTTTCAGGAATCTGAAAGTTTTAGAGATTGGCTCTTAGCCTTTGAAAGTATTCTAATGGTTACTCTAGAAGTTAGCTTCTTGAGTAGCCAGCCAAGTGCTGTACTGGGCACCGGCTTACCTGTCTCTTGTCCGTGGATACTGGTCTCTGGCATTTGAAACCGGGCTTCCATCTGTGGGCAGAGAATGGGGAGCATTTTCAGGTGCTTGGTGGAAGAACATATTCTGGAAGGATGTGCAGCCCACATGGAAGGATAGTCTGTAGTGGCCACCTTTTCTTCACTAACCGAAGGTGTTGACTTTCGCAGTAGAAGGAACCTTCCTGTCTACCAGATTATAGGGAGCAGATCTTGGGTAGCAGGAGCAGTGTTTTAAGTACTGTGCACATTTTTTGTTTCATTTTTGGAAATTTTGCTGTGTTTGCTTGTTGAACTAAATACGCACGATTCTTTTTTTTTTTTTCAGCTCCTTGTCGGATCAGAGGATTTTGATATCCGAGTTTTTAAAGAAGATGAGATTATAGCAGAAATGACAGAAACAGAGGTAAAAAGTGCCACCTCAGAATCATGGTAACTGTGGGCAAGATAGATGAGCACAGTGAAATGTCACATCTGACAAGGGTGCTGGGATATCTTCTCACAACCCAGACAGTTTTGAAGTAAAAATTGTGGAGATTGAACAGAACTGCATGTTACAGAGAAAGACGCACTGAAAAATCCTGTATCAAGATATATTTTCAGAGTTGGGGGGAGGCAGGGGTGGCCGCTGGGGAAGAGAAAAGATACGTTTTGAACAGACTGATTAGAGAAAAATTATTGAGTACCTAAAGGCCTTTCTTTCAATGAGTTAATACATATTAATAAGAACACTAATAATGGTGGCCATTTATTGCGCACCTAATATATGCCAGATACTGTTCTAAGTGCTTTACGTAAACTAACCCATTTAATCCTACAACAGCCCTAGTAGGAGGATATTATTATTTCTATTTTCCTGATGAGGAAACTGTTGTTAAGTTCCTTTGTTCAATTACTCAAACACAGTCATGGCTGCGAAGTGGTGTGGTCAGGATTTGAAGATTGTCCGCCTCCTCCTCATCGTGTGTATTAAATGGGCTTGAATGAAGTACACAAACGAGGGTTTTAAAACGTTCCCTCTCCATTCAGATTAAGTACTTCTTAGGCACATTTTTTTAAGGTAAACTTAAAATCAGATGTTGGAGAACTGGAAACCTGTGGGTTTCTCCGTGATTAGGATTGCTCATGGAATAGAACCTGGGATGTTTCTGAAAAGTTTAAACTTCATTTGTCTACAGATCACCCTTATCCGTTGTAGTTTTGGCATTCTTAGGATATTTATATGCTGCTGGTTCCCCAGGATTGGGCAAGATGGAAACAGAAAAACGAATTAGGATATTCTGAAAAAGGAAGGAGAAGAGGATAAACGAGCAGTGGTTTGTGAACGTTCTAGAGAGGCAGAAAAAAACAACAGAAGGGAGTCTTAGTGGTCAGATTTTGCTGGGATCCTGCAAAATTTATTCAGGTCGTGTTTGGGTCTAGATCAGAAAGCTTGAGGCACTGGCCTCAGGGCCCATCTTGACCACTTGTCTTTGCTTCTTGCCACTTACAAAAGCTGTCTAGGAAAGTCGGGCTTCTGTTCTACTACAAAAAAAGACCAAAAAGCAAAACTTGCATATTGATATACAAAGTGTTATCCTTGGTTTAGCTAATATACCTTTATCTTATAGTGAGGATCATAGATTTTTACTTAGTTCTACTATACTTTTTATATATTCACAGTTATTGGGGCGCCTGGGTGGCTCAGTCGGTTAAGCGTCCGACTTCAGCTCAGGTCATGATCTTACACTCCGTGAGTTCAAGCCCCGTGTCGGGCTCTGTGCTGATGGCTCAGTGCCTGGAGCCTGCTTCGAATTCTGTGTCTTCCTCTCTCTCTGACCCTTCCCCATTCATGCTCTGTCTCTCTCTGTCTCAAAAATAAATAAAAACATTTTAAAAAACTTAAAAAAAAGTAATTTATATAGTCACAGTTATTATAATTATAAACTGCTAGTTATAGGTAGAGAAAATTAATTACCCTATTGAAAGTTAGGAGGTTCTGTTTAAGTGTATGTGCTTAATGTGTGATTTTTTTGAAGAGAGAATCCTTAGCTTTCGTTAGGTTCTTAACGGGGTTTGCCACTTCCTACCTCCCCCCACCCCCCAAAAAAAAGCCAACTTGAGAGTCACCTGTCAGTAGATGCTGTGTCTTGCATTATCGTTTTTCTTTCATTCAAATTTGTAGTAAATATTTTCCTGTTGGGTGGGAATCATTCAGATTTTGTTGGATTTCTGTTTATTGTCAATGCTACATGTGAGGAAGGTGCATTCTTTGGAAACACCTTTTTCCTAAATCCTAGAAAAGGACAGGAGAACATGAAATAGAGCTAGGGATTTGAGGTGACTGTTGGTCCCCTGGTCCATGAAAGAGAGAAACTAGTGAACTAATAAAGGACTAAGGGTCCCACGGAGTGTGGGGCTAAGGTTATGAAAATGTGAACTTTATAAAATTGTTCATTTCAGGGCCATTTTCCTGCCCTTTCGGTTGGATTTTGCTCTTAGCTCAAACGCTGTTTAGCAGATCGGCAAAATTATAATTCATTTGGCAGTTGGATGGCACTGAGTATTGCCAAAAGAATGCCTTGGGCGAAATAATTCTGGAGTCCTACACAGCGCTTTGTATTCAGAGTTAAGTGAAGTGGGTGGTTTTGTAGAAAAGCTGTAGGTGTGGAGGAAATTATATAACTATTCTCTGCTTTATACAATTTATTTCTTAATATCTCTTGTATTAGTGTCAGAATTAGAAAGTGGATCTGCAGGAGCAGAGATATTGTTAAGTTTTGGTTTTAATTTAAATAAAGGATAATTTTATTCAGTCTCTAAAATTGTATCCTTTTAAGCATATTAAATCCCCAAACAGTCCTGTAAATATTTCTGTATGATGTACACATTCTGTACAGCACAACAGTCACAAATCCAGGTGCTTGGGTTTGTACTTTTCAAAAGATAATGTTTTCTTCTAAAAAACATCTTTCATCTGTAGCAAATAGGAAATTATGTCATAGAAAAGCATGTACATGAAAGATATTCAACTGTGGGTTTTACAAGTCTTTATTTTATTTTATTTTACTTTACTTTACTTTATTTTATTTTATTTTTAAGTTAATTTATTTATTTTTGAGAGGGAGAGAGAGAGCACAAGCCAGGAGGAACAGAGAGACAATCCCATACAGGCTCTGCACCACCAGTGCAGAGCCCGGATGCGGGGCTCAAACTCATGAACTGTGAGATCGTGACCCGAACCAAACACAAGAGTCGGACGCTTAACTGACTGAGCCACCCAGGCGCCCCGACAAGTCTGTTTATTTTTTATTTTTATTTTTTTTATTATTTACATGATCTCTCTGCCCACTGTGGGGCACAAACTCATGACCCTGAGATAAGAAAGAGTCACATGCTCCCATGGAGCCAGCCAGGTGCGCTGGCAAGTCTTTAAAATTTAAACTGTAGGATATGGTAAGTTAAGGAAACTGGAACAATCATTAAAACGTTTTGAGTTAGTGTGTATAACAATGTCTGTTGTATATTTTCTATATCCTGTATACTGTATTTCATCCTCAATTGCTCAATTTTATTGGTGTTTTTTTAAACAATTTGCCAAAACTTGCCACATAAGTTTGATTTAAAATAACAAACTTTATGAGTTTATTTAATTCTCATAACCCAACTCTGAAATAGATGACATGGATCATAGAGAAGAGAAATACATTCCCCTCTAACAGATTTAAATCTAATTTTAACATACTCAGTAGCAAGGCATGCGATTTTATAAAGCCATACTCCACATGGAATTGAACTTTAATGAAAAGATGGTGTGTTTTTGTGTGTTATCTCTTGCAGATAATCACCTCTCTTTGCTCCATGTATGGTAGTCGATTTGGTTATGCCCTTTCCAATGGCACAGTTGGAGTTTACGACAAAACAGCCCGATACTGGAGAATTAAAGTTAGTATAATTCAGCCTCCAATATTCAGGGCTTTTAGACATATTGAGAGACTTCTGCACTAATTATTGAAATTCCTTTTCAGTCCAAAAATCATGCCATGAGCATTCATGCTTTCGACCTTAATTCTGATGGAGTGTGTGAACTGATAACTGGCTGGTCCAATGGGAAGGTAAGTCTAAGCACAGAGTTCAGGTATAATTCAGAGGACTGGTTGTCTGAGATCTATTTGCTGCAGGACTCAGAGTCAGTAACATGAAAATACGGACTTGCCCCCCTTTGCTGTACTTTTCAGATTTAACTTCATAATGTTTGTACATTTTTTCTTCCTGGTGTAGTGTCAGTACTGCAGAATGAGTGAGTGGACTTTTAGTCTTTAAGGCCCTATTTGGGGAAAATTTTCAGGAAGATATTTTTAAATCTCTTCCTTGAAGGAATGAGAAGCAATTTAATCAGGTTGATCTAGGTGTAGGCTACTAAAAAAAAAAAAGGAGTTGTAGGGCTCTTCTGTAATAAAACTTTAAGACTGAAAACTTCGACTTAGTGGGAAGAATCATGATATCATATTGTCTTCCCAGCTATGAAATTCAAAATAAAATCTTTTTGCTTTCTTTCCTTTTTTAAGTTCAAATCAGTATTTTCTACAGACTTCTGGCAAGTCAGGATTGTCTTGTTAGAAGCTGCCTAAGTAGCTGCCAGATCTCCATGGGTACCATTTGCCCTAGCTTTCTTGTCTGGTAGTGCTGGATTGCCTGAAGGAGATCAGCTAATTCCTGCCTTCTCTTCTCTGATTTGTCTTTGCTTTTGGCCAGTACCTTATAACCTTCCTTTGGTGTTGCATGAAGAATAATTCTATGAGACCCTTATGTTGGTTTCTGCTTCTTTAATTGGTTTTCCTTTGGTATGGTCATATAAAAATTATAAGGGAAGACTGTGGTGTTCCTTAGTAAGAAATGTGACATCTTGGGGTGCCTGAGTGGCTCAGTCGGTCAAGCATCCGACTTTGGCTCAGGTCATGATATCATGGTTCGTGAGTTCGAGCCCCACGTCGGGCTCTATGCTGACAGTTCAGAGCCTGGAGCCTGCTTCGGATTCTGTGTCTCCCTCTCTCTCTGCCCCTCCTCCACTTGTGCTTGCTCACTGTCTCTCTCTCTCTCTCTCTCTCTCTCTCTCTTTCAAATAAACATTAAAATAAAAAGAAATGTGAACATCTTATTTGTATTGGATCATATTCTGCAGGAATATAAATTATTACGATTAATTCAAGAATTAGTAACTACTAGACTTGAGAAGTTTTCAAAAGTTGCCTTTTAAAAAAAAGTTTCCTTCAAATATGATTCTGGACCTAGTTGTTTTTAGAGTTAAATGTTTTCAAAATTTTAAGGGATTTCTATGATATAATCTCTTCCAGACCATAAAAAAAGATAAGAAAATGAACACAGTTCATTATATAAGTAGAAAAACTAATATCTACACTGCCAAAAGGAACACATACAGACCCAGCATATGAATTCAGGCGCAGAAATACTAGATGACTGCAGCCAGTCAATTAACTTTAACCTTTTGTAGGTCATTTGTGGGCTTGGAGGGCCATTCTCTCCCCCAGGGCAAAACCTCCCTGTTGGATAAAGCAAAAGAGCAGAACATCCAGAGAAATATTAATTTGTAGTCTTGCTTCTTAGTTAGTCAGTGAACCCTCTTATTTGTAAAACATTGTGGAAATGCAGGAGCAAATTCAGTTCAATCTGAGAGGGTTATTTATTTATTTTTTAAAGTAATCTCTACACCCAGCATGGGACTTGGACTCATGACTCAGAGATCTAGAGTTGCATGCTCCACTGACTAAGCTGGCCAGGGGATTCTAGGGTTAGGTTAATGTGCTAAGGGCTTTGGTAAATTGCTTCACAGGTTTTAGCATTGATAGTTTTCAGGCTTACATGTTGGTGTTATTAAGAGCATGGATATTTGAATGTGACATTCCATAGGCAAGGGATAGGAGCTAGTAGTAACCTATGACCTAAATGACTTTATTTTGTTGTTGTTGTTGTTGCAAAGTTTTGCCCAGAAGAATGTTTGCGAAAAGACAAAAATGGTGAATGGCATTGGCTATTTGAAATGATCGCTCTACCAGATTTTCTATAGCCACCCTTTTATTTTGTGTTCTTGCTTGAAACAAAAGTCAACATTTTAAGCAGTTATCCTTCGTTGTTGTTTTTTAGGTGCATTGCTTTCTGATCATTTATTTATTTGCCTTTCTTGGGAAGAGGAGACTCAGGATAGGAGGGCTGTCTAGGGCATCCCAATAGTTTTTATGTGGAAGAGTGGCTTTTTAAAAAAATGTTTATTTATATTAGAGTGTGAGTGGGGGAGGGGCAGAGATAGAGACAGGGAGACACAGAATCTGAAGCAGGTTCCAGGCTCTGAGCTGTCAGCATAGAGCCCGATGCGGGGCTAGAGCTCATGAGCCGTGAGATCATGACCTGAGCCGAAGTTGGATGCTTAACCAACTGAGCCACCCAGGTGCCCTGGAAGAGTGACTCTTAAAATCGGTTATTATAAAAGGTTATATGATGGAAGGTTAAGTTAGCTTGGTGTTTTTCAAACTTTAGATGTAGATATATTTTATACACATACACGATAAAGACAAAGCTTTTACATAGAACCAATGTTTCCTGTATATGTCTATGTGCAGACCCTGTTCTAAGTGCTTTATGTGTGTTAACTTCTTTAGGCCTCATTCCAGCCCTGTGGGGTGTAGGTACAGTTATTTCCCTCAGGTTCTGCTTGTTCTTGACCTCCAGATGAGGAGACCAAGCACAGAATGGTTAAGGGGCATTCCCAAGTTCCCACAGATAGTAAGTGGATATGTACTGCCAACCCATTCCTCCAAATGAAATATTATATAAAGGCCAATATGTAAAACAGCTTTCATTTAAAAAGAAGAAAGTACAGCTGGTTGTGTCCCCTTATTGTCCCCTTGGCCCCAGTGGTCATAAGGTGCCTCCTGAGAGGCCACAGGGCTCCATGGAGCACTCTTGAAAAACTGCTAGACTAGCTGACCTTTAAAGCTGACTTTAACTTTAAAATTGTGTGTGTGTGTGTGTGTGTGTGTGTGTGTGTGTGTGTGTGTGTGTGTGTGTTTTAAGCTACAGCATAAGCTATTTTTCAAGTTCTTGCTTTATTTTTAGGTCGATGCTAGAAGTGACCGAACTGGGGAGGTCATCTTTAAAGACAACTTTTCTTCTGCAGTTGCTGGTGTGCTGGAGGGAGATTACCGGATGGACGGTCACACACAGCTAATCTGCTGCTCCGTGGATGGGGAAAGTAAATTGGGACGGGAAAAAGCCTCAGAAAGCCAGGTTTTCAATTTGATTGGGTCAGAATGCCAGGAAATTCGTGTATACAGTGTTTGTATTGATACCCTCTCCTCCTAATAAATTCACCAAGTTGAGGAGATGAGAACTTAGGTTTTTGGTTTTTAAGATCAGACAACTGATGATTTGAAAGTAGGCCTGGCTATGCTGGGGTATTCCTCAATCTGGTGAGGGTTTTTTTTTTTCTTTTGTTCAGTCCGGGGCTACCTGCCAGGCACAGCCGAGATGAGAGGCAACCTCATGGACACCAGCATAGAGCAGGACCTGGTCCGAGAGCTGAGTCAGAAAAAACAGAATCTGTTGCTGGAACTCCGTAACTATGAGGAAAATGCCAAGGTAGGCCCCCATGCTGAAGGGGACATGTCGTGTGAAAAGTTGGGGATGGCAAATGTGGAAGAAGACGGAGTATAGCATGGGCCCAGCGGGACTGCCTCCTGCCCACTGGCGGAAGCACGGATGGCCTCAGCCTTTGTGCTGGGGTCACAGTTGAGAGGGTGCATATCCTTGAATCTGGAAGTCCCACCGCCGTGCACCTAAACTATAGAAATACTTGCACAAGCCCTCAAAGACCTTTACTGCAGCACTGTCTGTGGCAGTGAATGGTTGGAAGCAACAGAAATGTTGACCAGTCGTGGGGCGTGTGCTCGGGGCTGTTCAGCAGCCTGGAAGAATCAGGTATATGTACTCGGACTGATATGGAAGGGTATCTGTGGCATTACTGACTGAAAGAGTGCAAGAACAGTATGTACAGAATATCTGTCATCTTTTTCAAAAATAAATAACAAAAAGGTGACAACTGCCAAACCTCTGTGAGTGTGCTTCCACGTGTGTGTTTGTGTGCATGCGTGCATGCATGTGTGTGTACCAAGTTGGCTGGAAGATAAGCTAGGAAGCCAGACTTTGATTTGTCCTGTCATGTGTGACTGTATTTGAATTTATTACACTAAGTGAATTTGTTTTGCTACTTTAAAAGAACAACACCAAAAAAACTTGTGAAAGGCACGGTGGGGAACAGTGGGCCCTACCCACAGGAAAGGATGGGGTATTTTTCCTTGGGAAGAGGCCGGGTAGAGTGAGGGAGTGCCAAGGAGGTGAGTCCTCTGAATTCTAAAGAATGGGATTAATATCAGATGATTGGGAGTTGGTCTTTTTTTTAAAGTTTTTATTTATTTGTTTTGAGAGAGCATGCAAGTGGGGGAGGAGCACACACACACACACACACACAGAGAGAGAGAGAGAGAGAGAGAGAGAGAGAGAGAGAGAGAGAGAGAGAATCTCAAGTAGGCTCTGCACTATCAGCTTAGAGCCCCATAGGGGCCTTGATCCCACGAAGTGTGAGATCATGACCTAAGCCCAGATCAAGAGTTGGGCACTTAACCAGTTGAGCCACCCTGGCACCCCAGGGAGTTGGTTTTTGAAGCCAAGTAACCATATGATTTAAAATTGACATTGGTTCACTGTTTCGGTGACTGAGTCGGAAGTCGGATGTTTCGTAGGCTGAATTGAGTCCACTGAACGAGGCTGATGGGCCTCGGGGCGTCATCCCAGCCAACACCAAGCTGCACACCGCCCTCTCAGTCAGTCTGGGGCATGAGACCCAGCCTGCTCACGTGGAACTGTGCATTTCCACCTCTAACGGTAAGGAGTTACTTGGAGCTGGCACCTGTGGACGCCTGTGCCTCCTGGGAGTGGTTCTGGAACTGCCGTTTTCTCTCTTCCCGGCAGACACCATCATCCGAGCAGTGTTGATTTTTGCCGAGGGAATCTTCCTGGGTGAAAGCCACGTGGTACACCCCAGCATTCACAGCCTTTCCAGCTCCATCCGCATCCCAGTGACACCTCCCAAAGATGTCCCTGTGGATCTGCACTTGAAAACCTTCGTGGGTTACAGAAGCAGGTGACCCTTTGTTTCCAGCCAGCACTTAGAGGGAGGCAAGATGGGTGGATTTTGGGGGCGCCATTTTGATGATTCTACCCACCTAACCAAGATTTCCCATGACCTTTTCTTCCCTAATTTGAAATCTTTCAAAGATAAAAAATGAAGGCTATGTAACTTTAAGATGGTTGTTTCCTGGTTTTAGTCTGGTGATCTTATAATGACAAAAGTTACAAAAATATGTTTAACTGATGAATTTTCAATTTCTGGTTTTGGCCACTAAGACTACAGAGTTAGGAAGCGCTTTCATGTTAGGGTTATGTATAACCTCAGCTAGTGAAGGAATATCGCTACATTTGTGGAAGATAAAAGCCATTTCACATTTCTTTTAGGGGGTTTTAAACCCTTGGTGCATGTATGTATATATGTATAAGACTCATGTTGTCTCTGATCCCAAACCCCATCACCGTAGTACTTGATTGTCAAGTTTTTTGTTTTTTTTTTTCCCTTCAGTAAAACCCATGAATAACAACTCAATGACCCAGTTAGTGATTTTATAGTTGTTATCTGGGCCTTGCATTTTGAAGTAATATTCCATGCAGCACATTTCTCATCTTGTGTTGCTTTGGTTGACCACAGCACCCAGTTTCATGTGTTTGAATTGACAAGACAGCTCCCCCGCTTCTCCATGTATGCGCTGACTGCCCCCCACTCTGCCACCGAGCCACTCAGCTACGTCAACTTTATCCTTGCAGAACGGGCACAGAGGGTGAGTCTGACTTTTTTCTTTCAATATTGTTGCCCCTTCAGCATCCTTTGGATGTTACTTAGAAGGGGAAATTGCATGAATGAGTTATTTGGTAGCAGTAATTACGACATGAAAGAGGCAGGTGAGTTTGGTGTTGGCTTATAACCTGTGACCAAAACACTGCAAAAATCTCTTCTCTCACTTTGAAAGAATACACCACCTTATTTACGTGAGCAGTCTTTAGTTGCAGATAAATTCTTACCAGCTTTTAATTGGTGTCTTTTTGCTGTCATGGCCTTGGTGTACTTGTCCTGACCCAGTGTTTCAGGAGGAACCTGCTTCGAATTGGAAAGAGGGTGGGAGTTTGAGCTGAGAACATTCTGGATTCAGATGCTACCTTAACTAGTTAAATTTTAGTGATTTTCTTAGTGCTGTCAGCCCTCACCAGTCTGAGCCTCAGTTCCCTTATCTCTAAGTGAGGCTAGTCCCACCTCACAGGGGGCCCTGCAGATCACATATTTGGTGTGACAGTACCTTATAAAGTGTAAAGGACTAATGCCAGTGGCCTTTAACCTCAGCTGGACTCCGGAAATCTTAGGGAGGCTTTTTAGTCATGTAGATTCTTAGGTTCTTATGTGGTCAAGGTTCCCATGACCTTTACTTCCCTAATTTGAAATCTTTCAAAAATAATAAATGAAGGCTATATAAGTTTAAGATGGTTATTTCCTGGTTTTAGTCTGATGATCTTACTATGACAAAAAGTTACATAAATGTGTTTAACGGATGAATTGTCAACTTCTGGTTTTGGCCACTAAGACTACAGAGCTGGGATGCACTTTTATATTAGGGTTATGCATAACTGAGCTGGTGAAGGAATACCGCTGCATTTTACATGCTGCTGCTCACCATTATTGTTAGGAATATTAAAACTTATTTTTTACTTATGTGGCTGTATCTCTGTGTCTGTGCTGTGTGTGTGCATGCACACTTCATTTACCATTTTTTTTTAAAGGATAGAATGGAATAGTTTTAAGCAGACTGCATCATCAAGAGTATAGCCACAGAAGAGCTACAGTGTAAACAGGCTTAGCACCATACCCAGTTGTTTCTACAATCCATATAAGATTATGTCTACACTGAAAATGCTATAAAGTCATGCATGCTGTGGGGCCAAACATAATTATGAATGTTACTTAAGATCATGTATGAGGTGGGAAAAAGGAGTGTGATTAGTGTTTTCTTGGTGGGAGGGGGTGTGAAGTATAATTGTTTTTTAAACAAGCAGTAAATCTAGAAAGAAAGGTAATTCTTAAGAATGACTGTACTTTAAAAATGGAAGTTCATTTCATCCTATTCATTTTTCAGGTTGTTATATGGCTCAACCAGAACTTTCTGTTACCAGAAGACACTAACATTCAAAATGCTCCATTTCAAGTGTGTTTCACGTCCTTACGGAATGGTGGCCAGCTGTATATAAAAATCAAGCTTAGTGGAGAGGTAACGTTTACTGTCACAGGCATAGATTTCCTGTGTAATGTTTACCATTCAGTGCAAAGTGAGGTGGGTGGCGATATCAAGGTTGTAAAACTGCATGTTTCAACGTAGTCTGTTAGTGTTAAAAGTGTCAATCGTTTTAGACACTGGGGTATAATCTAGAAGGTGGTTTTCTGTCTTCCTCCATCCTTCCCTTCAGCACTTCCTTGTCTAATTTGGGAAGGATTGGGGATACGGAGGTGAACAAAAAACATTTTCAACGTTTGAATGATTTTGTTGTTTAGTTTAGGAGGCCAGAGGATTGATCTTTTAGCCTGCTGCTAAAATTTATAATTTCCTTCAGGGCTAACATCTATCTGATTCATCACCACATACAAATTTAGGTTCAATAAATGTGTTGAATATGGGGAAATTCAGGTAGTGTTTTAGCTAAGTTTCTCTTTAATATCTGAAGATGCTAAGCTTGTCTCTTATTTTCCCCTGGATAGATCACCGTAAATACTGATGATATCGACTTGGCTGGTGACATCATCCAGTCGATGGCATCATTTTTTGCTATTGAAGACCTTCAGGTAGAAGCAGATTTCCCGGTTTACTTTGAGGAGTTACGAAAGGTGCTAATTAAGGTGAGGGCACCCGGCGGCTGCATCTGTGCGAACGTGGTAGTCTCATGACATTTGAAATGTGTCTCGGAAGAGGAGAGATACCACAAATGTGTGTATGTTACAGGATAGCCATGTTCTTTTTTTTTTTTTTTTAAGCGTTTATTTATTTTTGAGACAGAGAGACAGAGCATGAACGGGGGAGGGCCAGAGAGAGAGGGAGACACAGAATCTGAAACAGGCTCCAGGCTCTGAGCCGTCAGCACAGAGCCCGATGCGGGGCTCGAACTCACGGACTGCGAGATCATGACCTGAGCTGAAGTCAGACGCTTAACCAACTGAGCCACCCAGGCGCCCCTGGATAGCCATGTTCTAAAGAATTTTTGAAAATTGTTACAGTTGAATTAGTTTGAGAGGGCCCACTAGTTAAAGGGTTTCTTTTATAGAGGTGAGGGGTTTAGCTCCTGACCACCCTGCTTTCTTTGTTTGGTTTACAGTTAAACAAACGTCATATTAACCTTTTCCTTTGCTAGCCACTCATCTTATCTCTTGTATTCACCTTGCTCTTTGGTTTAGTGCTTTCCAACAACCCAAATCCAAAAGAAAAAAAAGAAAAAAGGATAGTGACTGGTCCTCAGTTATAACCGCATTCTCACCCCAGATCTCTCAAATGTTAATATACATGTTGCTAGGGCTCCTGGTGGAGAGGTCCAGATGGAGTGTCATCTTGAGTGCGGGAGGTGGTATAGACTGATAATTCATTGGTGAGGTGAAACCGTGGGGGAGAGTCGAGATGGTGTAGGTGAACAGGGTAGAGAGGTATCTGCCTCTGTGTGTGGCAGATAGTGTCTTCTCAATCTGACTAATTTTCAAGGAGTCTGTGAGGTCTTTTTCATTCCTGAGTGTTCGTGGTTTCCAGGTGGATGAATATCATTCAGTGCATCAGAAGCTTAGTGCGGAGATGGCCGATAATTCTAACCTGATTCGAAGTTTGCTGGTCCGAGCTGAGGATGCGCGTCTGATGAGGGACATGTGAGTATTTACCTGACAGGTGCGAGTTTAAAAATGTCAGCAATACGGAATAACAGCTCTCAAATGCTGCTGGTAGGAGTGCACATTGGTACAGTGACTTTGAAAAATAACTTGGCATCATCAGTGAAGTTGAATATGTGTATTCCCTGTGACCTGGGAATTCTACTCCCGGTTTATAACCTAGAAACACTTCTGCGCATATACACCAGGATGCTTGTATGAGAGTGTTCCTGAGGCATTGCTCATAAGAATACCAAAGTGGAAACAGTCCACAAAGTACCATCAACAATGTGATGGCTAAATTATAATATAGTCGTACCATGAAATATGGCATCTATCTCCATGACATATGACAACATGGACAAATCTTACAGGCATAAGGGAAATTGAAAGAAGTAAGATTCAAAAGAACGTGTACAAAATGCTTCCTTTTATGTACTTTGGAAACAGACGACACTAAAAAGTGTATCATGTGGGAAGCATACATAGGTGAAGAAGATGTAAGGAAACGTAGCGAAGACATTACCACATAAGACAGTATTTTCTGTCAGGGGAGGAGGGACTGTGTTCAGAAAGAGCCCATCGGGAAGCTTCCGGGTTGCGGCAATGTTCTGTTTCTGGACCTGGTTAACAAACTGTTGTGTGAACTATTCCGAATGTGTTTTACATTTTACAATAAAACAGTTAAAAAAAAAAACCACAAAGATGTGCAGGTCTAGCTTCTTGCAGAATTTGTCTCGGCACTAAAGTACTGAGGTGGATAGAGTAAGACACCAGGGATGGATGAAGTTTGTGTACATTAGAGGCAAGGGTTCACCCAGGGTGCCGCTTAGGCTTTTTCCTGAAAGGCCTGAATTATCGGCATATGTTAAAATGGTGTTGCTCAGAAGTAAGTGATTTTAAAAGAATTAACATTGTTGAAAGTTTCAGACACATACAAAAGTAGATGAGGTAATACAGTGATTTCCTATACCCCCGCCACCCGGCTTCAGTCCTGGTCACCCCCTGGCCCATCCTGCTTTATCGCCGTGCTCACCTTCTTCCTCTCCCATGCACTGGACTATCTAGAAGCAAATTCCAGACATCATATCCTTTCGGCCATAAATATTTCAGACAGTGAGCCTTTGAAAAACACTAGCCACAATACCATTATCACATTTAGAAAAATGTAAAGTAATTTCTTTTTTCTTGTTTTATTTTGTTTTAATGTTTTATTTATTTCTGAGAGAGAGCCAGATGCAGGGCTCCAACTCACAGGCCATGAGATCATGACCTGAGCCGAAGTTGGATGCTTAACTGACTGAGCCACCCAAGCACCCTGTAAGATAATTTCTTAATATCACAAAATAACCTAGTCAGTGTTTAATTTCCCCAGTTGTCGCACGTGAGCGCGCGTGCGCGTGTGTGTATGTTTTAAATTAGTTTGTTCAAGCAAAGACCAAAGATTAAATCTCTTTTAGGGGCACCTGGGTGGCTCAGTCGGTTAAGTGTCTGACTTCGGCTCAGGTTGTGATCTTGGGGTTTGTGGGTTCGAGCCCTGCATCGGGCTCTGTGCTGACAGTTCAGAGCCTGGAGCCTGCTTCAGATTCTGTGTTTCTGTCTCTCTCTGCCCCTCCCCTGCTCACGCTCTGTCTCTCTCTGCCTCTCAAAAACAAATAAACATTAAAAAAATTAAAAAAAAATTAAGTCTCTTTTAATCCACATGTTGCTTATTCTTTTTTATTCTTTTTCCCAGCCCTCTCCCTCTTCTGTGGTGTCCCATTTTGGATTTTGCTGATTGCATCCTTGTGATAATGTTTAGTAGTATTCTTGTCCCCTGGATTTCTGTCAAAATGGTAGTTAGATGCAGAGGGTTGGTTAAACTCAGGTTCAACTTTTTGGCAAGAATAGTTCATAAGTGGTGTTGTGTACTTCTACGTGGGAGCATATAATGCCTGGTTGTCTCTTTCTATTCTGTTGCCAGTCGTTGATGATCATTACGTAGATCCATTATTTCTTTAGGAGTTTGCAAAACAGTGATATTCTAATTCTGTTATTTTTTTCTTCATTTTTAGCAAAATACTTCTATGAAGCATAACATTCCCTTACGAATTAATGATTATTTTGCTCCCTGAGGTATAGTTTGTAAGGATTATTTATCAGCTTTAAGCTAATGAGTTGGTTCTCTAGCATCTGTGCTAACCAGTGAGATTTTTAAATCCTTATAAACTCATATATTTTAACATATTTAATGTGCTCAGTCCATTTTAGTTACTCTGTATAATGGCCAAATTGTCCTGTCTTAGGCCACTGGAAACCTTTTCAGGTTGGCTACAGCTACCTTTGGCCATAGCCAATTTTTCTGTTAGGTCCTTGTTTTCTTGTACAAAATATTTTAGGCTTATCTGGTACATCTTTCTGAATCTGGAAGCAGCCATTTCTTTAAGGAGTCTTGGTTACTTTTAGTGGGAATTGGTATTTAGAGATTATAGTCTGTGCATGAGAGGTGCCCATTGGGCACCGCCCTCTGGGCGGTTACTGTTTCTGGACTTTTCAATGGGTAGAACCAGGAAATGTATATATTTTTATTGTGAGACTATCATGAGTTCATTCTGTTTCCATTTCAGATTTATGAATGCGGGCTCTAAGTTTTTATTTTAAAGTATATCTCTTCTTTCTCACATTGAAAAATCTTGGCTCTAACCAGTATCAACGTGACTGTTTGCTAGTATAATACCAGTGTGGCTGATGAATAGTATCAACATCAACAATAGGAGTGCTGAAAACAGTAAAAACTTTTTTTTCTAGTTTTTTTTGTATCTTTAGAGTATATTCCAGTAGGGATTTTTAGTCAAGTTATTGTATCTGAAATACTTCCCCCCTTTTTCGTTATGCCACAAGTTTATCTACAGTTAGGTTCATTTGGTTCATTTTGCTTTTGGTCTTGGGAGAATTGGCATTTTTTTTCTTTTGGGTTTAATTTTATTACACATTTATTAAAACTTTTATATAGAGTCAGCTCTATAAAACAATATGCAGAAGAGTCTAACTTTTCTCAGTTGGCTCAGGGTCTGACTTTGGCTCAGGTCATGATCTTGTGGTTCATGAGTTTGAGCCCCACATCAGGCTCTGTGCTGACAGCTCAGAGCCTGGAGCCTGCTTTGGATTTGGTGTCTCCCTCTCTCTGCCCCTCCCCTGCTTGCGCTCTGTTTCTCTCTCTCTCAAAAATAAAAACCTTTAAAAAATTAAAAAAAGTGTCCAACTTCTCATTCCTGTCACCTTCATCCTATTCCCTCTCTTTCACTATAAATAACCAGTCAAAATTTGAATACACACACACACACACACACACACACACACACACACACACACATGCTCATCTTCTCACTCTATAGATAGATCATAGCATGTACTGTTTCCCGCCTGGTGTTTTACAATTAAAAATATGGTGCTCACTGCATAGTCACACACAGAAATACTATTCATTGTATTTACGGCTGCGCAGCACTCATGCTCTGGATGTTTGTTCAGCCAGTTCCCTCCATTTGGATTGCTCTTTTGCTCTTATGGATAATGTTGCAGCGCATAGCTTTGTTATATTATCTTTTCATATTTTTGCCGAGATACCTTTGGGAACAAGTCCTGAAATGGAATTGCCAGGATAAATGATAAATGCGTACAGAATTTTGCAAGATATTGCCAAATTCTCTTCCATTAGGTGTTCTGTCATTTTGCATTCTCAGAAGTAATGTATGAGAGTGCCTGTTTCTCTTCAGCCTTGCCAATAGAGTATGCTGGCACACTCTTGGGTTTTTACCAGTTCAGTGGGTGAGAAGTGGTCTCATTGTGGTTTTAATTTTCATTTGTTTTATTGCGAGCAGTGTTGAGCATCTTTTCATTGTTTTAAGGGCTATTGGCTTTTCTTTTTGTGTGTGAACTGTTTATCTTGTCTGTTTATGTATTAGGTTTATTAATCCTTTATCTGTGATAGGAAATGCATATTTTCCCCCAGGTTTTCATATGTATTTGTCCTTTGCTTATTAGATTTTTAACAATTTATTTTTAGGGAGCCTGGGTGGCTGGCTCAGTGGGTTAAGCTTCCAGCTTCAGCTCAGGTCATGATCTCATGGTTTGTGAGTTCAAGCCCCACGTTGGGCTTTGTGCGGACAGCTCAGAGCCTGGAGCCTGCTTCGGATTCTGTGTCTCCCTCTCTCTGCCTCTCCCCACTCAAGCTGTCTCTCTCTCCCAAAACTAAACATTAAAAAAAAAAAAAAAACAACTCAGAAAAAAAATATGTAAGTGCCCTGGTTAAAATAAAGGATATTATTTAAAAAATAAAATAAAATTTATTTTTGGTTTTGCCACGTAGAAGTTTTAAGAAAATTTTATGTAGTCAAATTGGCTAGTCTTTTCCTTAAACTTCTACACCGAATTCAGAGTAATTAACCTATTTTTTAAATACCTGTATGTTTTCCTCTTTTACATTTAAATCCCTGTTTCGGTTGGAGATTATCCTGGTTTTCAGCATAACAGTGATAAGTTCAGTTTTCTCTTTCTCTGCGCTGTTTCAATACGCCTACTTTAAAAGTCCATTTCCCACTGATTTGAGATACCTTTATCATGCATCATGTTTCCACATGCACTTGGGTCTATTTCTGGATTTCCTATCCAGTTTTCTTGGTCTGTCTTGCTCTTCATTTGGGAGTGCCATTCTTTTCCTTACTTTGTATGGGAAGTGCTTTGTATGTTACCTGGTGTGGCTAGGTTGCTCTTCCTTTTCATGGTTTTCCTGGCTGCTTGTGCTTGTCTTTTCCAGTGAACTTTATCACCAGGTTTTTTAGCTCCAGAAAAAAAAGATAAGTGTTTTTACTGGGATCATGTTAAGTTTATTAACTTGATCTGACGTTGTTACAAGGATGTTCAGTCTTACTAAGAGCACGCTCTGTCTTTATGTGTTCAAGTCATGTTGTAGGTCTTTCGTATAGGTATCAGACTTTGTTAAGTTTGTGCCTATTTTATTTTTGCAGTTGTAAATAGGATCTTTCTTCCACATTATATCTTGTTGTTTTTTTTTAGTGTTTATTTTTGAGAGAGAGAGAGAGAAGAGAGAGCAAGCAAGGGAGGGGCGGGGTGGGGAGGGAGGGAGACTGGGAGACAAGGATCTGAAGCAGGCTCTGTGCTGAGAGCGCAGAGCCTGATGCAGGGCTCAAACTCATGAACCTGAGATCATGACCTGAGCCCAAGTTGGACACTTAACTGATGAGCCACCCAGGTGCCCCTATATATATATTTTTTTGAGTATATAAACACTGCTGATTTTTGTATATTGATTTGATAATCTACTACTTTACTAAATTATGTTACAGTTTTTCCAGATGTAAAATTGCATCCTTTGTAAATTGAGACTGGTTTGCCTCTTTGTAATTTGTTTTCTTCCCATTATTTTCTTTGAGGTATATTAGGTTTCTGCTTTTTCTGGCCAGCTACCTCTAGGGCCCCTGTTTAACTCTGTCTCTGGCTTTTTTTTTTCTTTTTCAGTCAGAGAGCTATTGTTGGCCTTAGGCATTTGACTGCTAAAATGGAGGAAAGTGACCACCAACCTCTAAATTCCATTTTTCCTGAATTATTTATATTTCATTTAGAGGCTCTCAGATGTATGTGTTTTATTTTTTAAAGCCAATTTAGTTGATATATAATTTATTATATCCACGCAGAAAATTCACCCTTTTAAGGTTTACAGTTCAGTAAATTTTGAGAAACACGTATAACCGTGTTGCTGCTACCACAGTCAAGATGTAGAATATTTCCATCACCCTTTTGTCTCTCTGCATCAGTATCTCTCCTAACCTCTAGTCCCTGGCCATCACTGATCTGATTTTTCTCCCTGTGGTTTTATCTTTTCCAAAATGTCACATAAATGGAATCATATAGTATAGGCCTTTTGAGCCTGGCTTCTTCCACTTACCTTAATGCCTTTGAGATGGATCCATGTTGTTGCATGTGTCAGTAATTTGTTCTTTTTTTATTGCTGGGCATAGTACTGTTCCACTGAATGGATATACCATATTTTTGTTTATCCACTCACCACTTAATAGACATTTGAGTTGTTCCATACTTCAGTGATTGTGAATAAAGCTACTACAAACATTTGCATACAGTTTTTTTATAGACATGTTTTCATTTATTTTGGGTAAATACTTGATAATGGTATTTCTGGGTCATTTGGTAAGTGTATATTTAACTTCCTAAGAAACTTCGCAGTCATTTCACAAAGTAGCTGTACATTTTGCATTCCCATCAGCAGTGCGGGAGAGTTCTAGTCATTCCACATCCTTATCAGCATTTGGCTTTATCAGTTTATTTTATTTTAATCATTTTCATTGTGTAGTAATATCTCATTGTGGTTTTAATATTATGCCTTTGTTTTTAGTTTATTTTACTTAATGTTTATTTATTTTTGAGAGAGAGAGAGAGAGTCAGCACAAGTGGGGGAGGGGAGAGAGATGGGGAGACAGAATCTGAAGCAGCTCTAGGCTCTGAGCTGCCAGCACAGAGCCCGATGCGGGGCTTGAACTCACGAACCTGCTCATGACCTGAGCCGAGGTCAGACACTTAACTGAGCCACCCAGGTGCCCCTTTATGCCTTTGTTTTTAAAACCTTGATGAAATTTGAAGTTGAATTTACCAGTTGTCTAAAAATATTAAGAATAAGGTCACTTTTGCCCAATGAATATTAATCAGAAACTGTGAAGCCAGCTTACTGCCTTGCCTACTTTTCTTTACTCCCCCACCCAGCGGGCGTTTATTAATTGTTGGTTCCTAAATTCAAACAAACCGTGGACCAATAAACAAGAAAGGCCATTTGTGTTCCATTTATTTGGAGGAAATAGAATATGTTGATGGAAACTTTCTCAATGTTGTCAAAGCAAACATTTCAAAGCTAAAAAAATTGGTGTCTTTATGTACGTAAGAAGTTTACAGGTTTTCTCATGTAAGCCTGCCATATTGGGGTATGATGAGGTTCATACACTGATGTTGATTTACACAGGAAAACCATGAAGAATCGCTACATGGAACTGTACGACCTTAATAAAGACTTGCTAAATGGATACAAAATTCGCTGTAACAATCACACAGAGCTACTGGGGAACCTCAAAGCAGTAAATCAGGCCATTCAAAGAGCAGGTCGTTTGCGGGGTAAGTCTCTTTTTGTAGCACCCTAAGTAGTCTGTGATTTTGGGGTGAGAACCATTAGAGGTAGTGGTGGCTTCAAGAATTCATATTGGGGCCGAGAGCGGCACACATGTAACACTCAGCTCAGTGGAAGCCACTTGACCTTGGCCAGCCTGTTTGGCTTTAGTCAGTCTGCAGACTTCAGAGGCAGGAAAACTTTCAGCGCCTTTTCTTAGGTCTTGCTGTGTTTTCCAAGAAAAACCTAGCGACATATACCCCAAAGGAAAACCTCAAATATACCTATTTTTTTAAAAAGGGAGGCTGAAAATTAATGAGCTAAGTATCCAACTTAAAATTTAGAGAAAGAGTGGGGCGCCTGGGTGGCGCAGTCGGTTAAGCGTCCGACTTCAACCAGGTCACGATCTCACGGTCCGTGAGTTCGAGCCCCGCGTCGGGCTCTGGGCTGATGGCTCAGAGCCTGGAGCCTGTTTCCGATTCTGTGTCTCCCTCTCTCTCTGCCCCTCGCCCGTTCATGCTCTGTCTCTCTCTGTCCCAAAAATAAATAAACGTTGAAAAAAAAAATTTAGAGAAAGAGTAATAGAATAAACCAAAAGCAGCTGAAATATAGCCAGAGATTTAGACCTGAAATCTGCTGTTTGGGTCAGTGCTTTGACCTTCTTTTAGAAATAACCTTTGCTAGGTAGATAGAAGCTTTGATTCTTTTCTATAGAACCGACTTCATTTCTAGGTTGTAGATGGTCTGTAGGTGTGGTTTGTGATAAATTCCCTCACAAAGATACCTTTTTTAGGGAGTGGTAAGATAAATCAGTTAAATTTGCACACCATATATCTCTTTTCTTCCCTGGTTGTATGCTGTTTTAAAGCTGGCCTCTGATTTATAATGTCACTTTGAATGATCTTTTGGATTGTACTGATTGGATGTTTCATCCCACACAGTCGGAAAACCAAAGAACCAGGTGATCACTGCTTGTCGGGATGCAATTCGAAGCAACAACATCAACATGCTGTTCAGAATCATGCGCGTGGGGACAGCTTCTTCTTAGGAAAGGAAACAATAGGTAATGAAGTTCCTAAAAAGTGTTTTTCCCTAAAATTCTAGGCTAGTTTGCTTTGGATTATATCCCGGTGACCCCAGGTGCTAAGAATGGTAACAGCCGTGGTGAGTGGTACAAATGTAAGACAACGCTCTGCATCTGAAAAGCGTATCCACTTGCTATTTTTAAAATCAGCGGCAGTAACCCAATACTAGGTTTGTGTAGAGTGGGTGAACACTTTGAACACTTTGAAATGTTAGCGCTTCAAAGTCCAGTTTTTCTGTATGTATGTATGTAAAGTTGGCGTATAGATACATCTTTTTCCTTGAAATTGTAATTGAATTTGTAATTAACTTTCTTTTTCATTAAAACTTAAGAGTTACACTTTGTGTTGACCATAAAATCACCACTGTATTAGAATTACACAAACCATTTGTACTGTGTGGAGGAAAACACAAGCATGGATATTCAATTTGTGTGCCTTATCACTGAAAGGGGGGTGGGTGTAAACAACAGATTTGCATTAAGGGAGTCAGTTGAGGGTGATCTGTTGTTGGAGTAATGTTAGCTACTGAAACTAATAGACCTCAAAATTTATCATGACCCATTTATTTCTCCTTTATGTTAGGATTTCTCCATAGTTACTCAGGGACCCAGCTTCCTGTGATCATTCAGCCCTGTCATCCTCTAGAGCAGCCTTTCCCTGAGTTCTCTAGAGAAAGAAGTTTCAGGAAATCAGTTCGGGTGACAATTTTCACATTCATCGCATACAATGAAAACCTGATGGCACAGGAACCCTGTTGGAGAAGGGCTGTCCTAAGGCCTTACAGGTATTTATATCCCAGTCAGTAGAAAAGGGAAAACTTTTATCAAAGCTGTGATCTGGAAATAGCACATTATCATTTCCACTCATGCTCCCTTAGCTAACATGGCCACACCTCACTGCAGAGAGGCAAGGAAGAGAAAGCTGGTGTTTGTGCCAACAGCTAGCAACTCCTTCCCTCAGAGTGAAACTTTTGCCTTAAGGTAGATTCTGGGACTGGTTTAATGTTTAAAACATTTGTCATAATGTGGCTGTTGTTGAAAGCGCTGCTGTAAACATTGGGGTACAAGTGCCCCTATGAATCAGCACTCCTGTATCCTTTGGATAAATTCCTGGTAGTGCTATTACTGGGTTGTAGGGTAGTTCTGCTTTTAGTTTTTTGAGGAATGGAAAGAGCCTGAATGTCCATCAACTGATGAATGGATAAAGAAGACGTGGTTTATATATACAATGGAATACTACTTGGCAATGAGAAAGAATGAAATCTTGCCATTTGCAACAATGTGGATGGAACTGGAGGATATTATGCTGAGTGAAATAAGTCAGAGAAAGACAGATATCATGTTTTCACTCGTGAAATTTGAGAAACTTAAGACCATGGGG